GGTTCTCGAAAAAAAACCTATTCTTGCTGATCCACGATATTATTGCGACAGTAATAAAACCTATCTTATTCTGGGTGGACTGGGTGGTTTCGGATTAGAATTAGCCGATTGGTTGATACTTCGAGGTGCCAAAAATATAGTGTTGACATCAAGAACAGGAATAAAGAATGGTTACCAACGCATGAAAGTTGAGTTATGGAAATCTTATGGCGTGAACGTGCTTATTATCACAGGAGCAGACGCTTCAAATCGTAAGGATTGTGAATTTATACTAAATTCTGCAGAGAAACAGGGTCCAGTGGATGCCATCTTCAATCTTGCCGTGGTGCTGAAGGACTGCATCTACAAGAATCAAACACCGGAATCATTCGAGGAGTCTTTCAGAGCGAAAGCTTGGGCCACGAAGATGCTGGACGAATTATCCAGAAAGTTATGCCCGCAACTTCAGCAGTTCGTAGTTTTCTCCTCGGTTTCTTGCGGGAGAGGAAATCCTGGACAAACAAATTATGGTATGGCTAACTCTATAATGGAGAGAATTTGTGAACGTAGAGCTGCGAACGGTCTGCCGGGACTGGCTATTCAATGGGGCGCGATAGGAGAAGTTGGTCTTGTTGCTGAATGGCATGACAACAACAAGGAACTCGTCATTGGCGGTACTTTGCAGCAAATGATATCTTCCTGTCTTGAAAAGTTGGAGATCTTCTTGTTACAGAATCGTCCAGTGGTATCTAGCATGATGGTAGCGGAGAAGCGTGTAGGTGCTTATGGAGGTGCCGATATTGTAGAGGCCGTGATAAATATAATGAGTATGATTGTTGTTATTTTATGATAGTTTCCTAGAACAAAATCAAAAAGAGAAATCTACAGTTTATATGTATTATGCAGATGAGGATATTAATTTTATTTTTAAATCTGTTTAAGCATATTGATCGAATTAATATTTTATTTTTAGAATAAAAATTACATAGTTTATTATTTATTTATATTATTTCCACCAAACATATGCACATCTTAAAAAATTATAAACTTAACGAAGATTTTTCCAAACAAGATTATTGATATGCTGTGTCATTATTCAAAAATATAGGCACCGATAATCAAATTTAATTATATCTCTTGATATACTCTTGTAGATGTGAAAGATAAGACTGTGGCTCAAAACATATCATTAACCGAACTCGGTATGGATTCAATGATGGGCATAGAGATTAAACAAACACTAGAACGTAAATACGATATCTTCCTCACCGCGCAAGATATTCGCAATCTAAATTTCGCTAAATTAGTGGAGATGCGCGATAAGAATTTGGAACGACAGAAAGCACAGAATCCAGAGATCAATGAACAGACAACCGAACTATCTGGCATACAACTGTTGCTTCAGATTTTGTATAACGTAGATTTGCCTACTGAGACTTGTATGGAATTACAAACTAGGATGGATCCGCGCAAAATAAAAGTGTTCCTCTTGCCGAGTATACAGGGTTGCGGACAAATATTTAATCCACTAGCATCAAAGATCAGACCTTTCGCAACAGTTTTGCAATATGGATTGGTGAATACTATGTCTATATCAGAATACGCCGATCATCTTTTACCAGTACGTATACACGGAAGAATGTAAATGATAAATAAAATGATATTCATTCAATATTTCTTTTGTACGAATTCTTTTTAAAAGATATTTGCCTTTACGCAGACTGATATATGTTTCATTGGAATTTTCAGTATGTCTTGCCGAAAGCGGAGGAGCAAAGAGGTTTTGCCATAGTCGGATATTCGTATGGTTCGTTAATTGCTCTCGAATTAGTGAAACGACTGGAAAAACATGGTTTAAGCGGTCGACTAGTATTGATTGACGGTGCTCCTGAGCTATTGAAAACGATGTTAGAGCAATTTCTTCCAGCTATTACAGAAGAAGAACTTCAAAATAATGTCTTGCTTTCTATTATGGATACTGTACAATCAGCTTCAAGCGGAAAGGTAGATTTTACTAAAGATTACTAAAATACTATTTTATCATCATGATCTTGTTATCAATATCCCATTTATTTTTCTTTTGCAGCTACTTTTAGATCTTGAGAAATGTACAACCTGGGAAGAAAAATTAAATGTTTTCTTCTCGCACGTTCCTGACAAAATATCGCTTACCAAAACTCAGAAAAAATTGTATACAAATATTTATATGCACATTCTCGCTTTCCGAAAGTACGACTGGTCATCCTTGGGATGGATACGATCGCCTATAACACTTTTGAGACCCAAGAAATCATCTGTCGATATGATCGAAGAAGATTATGGCTTACACAAGGTAATATGTCTCTGTATATTTTTTACGAACATTTGGTTTTAATTTCTCATAATCGATGTCTAATAACAGGAATAAAACTTTTCAGATCACGCACGACAAGGTGAATGTATATTATGTTGAAGGCAACCATGTAACGATGTTGGATAACGACAAGGTCATAGCTGCGATTAATGGAGAATCGTTGCAGGATCCTAAAGAATTCAGGAAACTTTTAACAGAAGATAGACCATTCGAAGAAACAGAACGTACAAGAGTCTGAATTACAGATTAAAAGTCTGTAACGTATTTAACTTAAAAGAAAAAAAATTTGCTAAGTTTAAGGTGTAAATATAATTTGGATTTGCCAATATTCGAATATTCGGATATTAATTCGAATTTTCGATTATTGGCAAATCCAAGAATAATCGAATTAACTATTACTCAAATTTGGAATTATTTTAATCCTTGATTTAAAGTATCCACAGCTGATTCTATACAAATTTTAAAATTAATTTAGATTTTTTCCTTCCTCCCTCATTTTAAGAAATAATAGAAAAGATCCTTTCCCTTCCTCCCTCATTTTAAGAAATAGAAAACTAATTGCAAAATTAGATAATTTCGGATTAACGGATATCGCGCCATCTTTGACTTTGACATATATTCAAGGTCATAATCCTTTCACAAGACTGGACCTCCCTTTGCATGGAAAATCATATGCTCAGCATACAATATATAGAAATAAGACAATTTTTAAATTTTATTTATTATAACCAAAAGAAGTTATTTTTTAATTTAAGCTTGCAATAAAAAAATATTTAATTATGTTTACTTTTCTTATTTTTTTCGTTAAAATTTTTATATTAAAAATTTTTAATATATATTTATTTTCATTAGGTTTATAAACATACATAATGTACAAAAGAATCTTTATATGTGTGCGTACGTGTAAAGTTACATAAAATTTCAATTTTGGCTTATTGTGTTTTGCATTTAATTTTCTATTATATTTATTATATAGATTATATAGATTATATAGAATTTATTATATATAGATTATAGATTATATAGAATATTTTATAGATTAAATTCAAATTTTTAAATGTAATTCTGTGGATATTAAAATTTAGAATATATAACTCATTCAAACATCCAGATTTGAATAAAAATAGATAATAATTAGTTTGGATAATTCGGATGTTATATTTATCGTATATTTATCCTAATTTTTGTTTATTAATCCTAATTTGGATATTTTTAAAATTGGCAAATATCTGTAGGTGATATAATTTTTTAATTTGCAGATTAAAATCACTGTTACAAAGTTGACACACAAAATTAAATTTAAAAAAATAAAAACTTTATATAAAATTTACTAATGTAATAGTCTCTTCAATTAATTCCTGGAATTTCTAATTTTGAATCTTTTCTTTTCTCTCTCGAAAAATACGAAAATCAGGAGACTGTGTTGCTAAATATAACTCATTCAAACATCCAGATTTGAATAAAAATAGATAATAATTAGTTTGGATAATTCGGATGTTATATTTATCGTATATTTATCCTAATTTTTGTTTATTAATCCTAATTTGGATATATTTAAAATTGGCAAATATCTGTAGGCGATATAATTTTTTAATTTGCAGATTAAAATCACTGTTACAAAGTTGACACACAAAATTAAATTTAACAAAATAAAAACTTTATATAAAATTTACTAATATAATAGTCTCTTCAATTAATTCCTGGAATTTCTAATTTTGAATCTTTTCTTTTCTCTCTCAAAAAATACGAAAATCAGGAGACTGTGTTGCTAAATATATTTCTTTAGATATTTTTACTAGTCTAGATAGTTTTACTAATCTATTTTTACTAGTCTAATACTATTATAAATTAACAAAACAAACCAAATCAAATTTTAGCAAAAAAGAATCTGATCCTCATATTTAGAATCTAATATTTAAAATTTAATATATTATATTTAGAATTCATTACTGTTGGCAAAAATTAATCTAAAGTTAATAAACTATACAAATATATTTTCTCAATGAACAATTAATAATTATCAAAAGTAAGGCATTTATCTAGATTTTGTTTATAAAGTTTAAGAAATAAAGTAATTAATAAATGTGAACTTGTGACAACAATTTTCTTATTCTGATATTAGACAAAGGTATTAAAACTCTGATGCAATTTTATTATTATAATCGTAATTTAATGCAAAACTAATACATACATGTATCATTTTATACCAATCATTCATAATAAACGCTCATTACATGTTATCATTTATATTACCTCACTTTATACATAATCATTATTTTTCATTCGCTCAATACTACATGCAAAATACAAACTGAAAAAAATTATTAGTGATATTTAACTAATTTCCTTTATTCTAAGAATCTTTATTCAATCATCGATTTTTCTTTAAATTAAAATTCTTGTTTTGCATTGTTTTCTTATTACTAACATTTGCTGTGTAATAAAAGTTAATGTATGGATATAAAAAACAAAATGCAAAAAGATATTTTTATTTTATGCTTGTCCTATTAGAAAAAAAATCAATAGATTTTCGAAAGAAAATACTCGGATCCAATATACATATTTCTTCATATATTAATAATAATAATTTCTTATAATAATTATAATAATAATTTCTTTCATATATTAATTACATAAATGATATAAATAAGAAATTATAACAAAATAATATACAATAAAGAATACGTATATAATGAAAAAGGTATATGCCGTATTTAAAGCTCCTGAGTAGTTACTACTACAGTCGTATAGAATCGTGATGTCAAAAGCGAGAAATGACATGTTAATTTTATGTGCCATTTGTAAATAAAGACGATTTGGATAAAACAAAATGCTAATATTATTTTAAAACAGTTGTAAAAATGGACGAAAGCTATCTTTATTTCTCTTGATAGTCAGTAAATAATCGTAAATAAAAAGTGTCGTAGATAAAAGACATGTGAAAGTGCTTTTACTCAATACACATACGTAGCGTAGATATTTTCACTTTCACGCATGGTAGCAATAAGAAAGATAAGCTATTCCTATGGATATGCAGTAGCCTAAAAATAGTGGGAAGCTAACAGCCAATCACTTATAATAATAAGAAAGGTAAGCTATTGCGTATAATGGCGAAAAAAAAGTGAGAGACACAAAATGACAACCAATCTTTGGACCTCAATCACTTAATTTCTGATCACCATTATGTGCGTTTGAAATTTGTGAGCTCTGTTGGAGTCCAAAGATTGGTTGTCATTTTGTGTCTCTCACTCTTTTTTCGCCATTATACGCAATAGTTTATCTTTCTTATTCCACCATGCTTTCATGTGCCTTTATCACTTTTTACGATCATTTACTGACTGTCTGGAGAGAGATAAACATAGTTTTCGTCCATTTTTACATATTATTATTTTAAAGCGATATCATCATTTTGTTTTATCCAAATAGTCTTTATTTACAAATGGTATGTAATAAAAATTGCCATGTCATTTTTGACGTCACAATTCAATATGATTGTGGTGATTATTCAGGAATCTTAAATAGCGAAATTATAATAAGACATATTAAAATGATGTGAAATTCATGATTATGAAAATAATATATTAGAGATGTGTTTCAAACTCACTCAGATGCATCACTCAAATGATTATTATACAGTAGGAGAAACCGCAAAACACATTTTATCCCTTATCCTACTCTAGTTTACATTTTGCAGATTATTGAAATCTTTTTTCAATTTAAAATACAATATTTATACTTTTTCGTTTTCAACATATTTGGAGATAAAATATGCAGTACTAACCAAAGAATCTCATAACTCCATTGGCTCGAATGGTGATCTGGCACTGGATAATATGTTATTTAGATCGGGAATAGTAACATTATTGTTGTTATTATTGTCGTCGGATGTATTTGGGATTGGCGTTGGAGTATTTCTCGTTGGTAGGATACGAAGATGTCTATTTGGTGGTTCCCAAAGAACCAGAGCCATAGAAGGCCTCTCTCTATAAGAGAAAAAAATAAACAAGGCTTAAAAAACAGTACATTTTTTCTTTTCTTCTCTCTCTCTCTCTCTCTCTCTCTCTCTCTCTCTCATTCATTCATTCATTCTTTTTCAAAAAGCATTGTATTTTTATATGTCATATTTTTAAATCATATATAACCAGTGTATACTTACAATTTAGATATAAGAGTCGATGGCAAAATAGGTTCCTCTTGCATTCGCTTGAGTTCCTCTGAAAGGACCAATCTTGGATGTAGATCGCTTGTTTGTTCTGTATTTAATGCATTCGTTGCATCGACATCCAAATCCATATCTAATGGCTTATAACAGGAAGATGACGTATGAACAGTAGAAGTTGATGGCGCCGGATTCTCGGATTCATAATTAGAACTAATGTGCAGATCTTTAAAATGTGCAGTTATTTTTTCTTCTGTTATAAACTGCTTTGTTTGACGCCTATTTGAATAACATGTTATAAAAATTTTGTCACATAATTAATCAGTAGACGACATATATAAAGCACATTATACTCACGTATCTACAACATCTGGTGCTTCTAATTTTCTTTTCTGATGAAGTATTGGTCCAGAGCTGGTATCTCCAGTAAATCTAACCAATTCTGATTGATGTAACGCTGATGGTACACTCCAGGGAATAGTTATTGGTGGTACTTGTGGTGTTTGCATCCATGATCCAATCTGCTGTAGATTCTGTTGCTGCTGTAGGTTCTGTTGGTTCATCATCTGTTGTAAGATGGATTGTGGTGTATATAAGTGCGCTCCACCCATAGTATTCTGAAAAATAAACATATAAATAAAAAAAGATATACAGAATAATATAGAATTTTTTTAGAATATCATATATAGCAAATTTAGATATTTACATGTTTTATTTTAAGATTGCAATCTTTTTCAAAGATACAAAGATGTCAAAAGTAACAGTTCTAATTTGGATTACTCTGCATTGATGCGTATTAAAATTACTATATATGAAATTAGTTAATAATAAAAATTTAATAAATACTCTATCAAAAAATTTAAAATATAATAATACCCTCACATACACACACACAATATTTTATATATATATATAAAATACCCTATCATATTTTATAATATAAGTAATATTTTAGACAATCAAATTAAATCAATAAAATGATTTTTTTTAGCCGACACAGAACAGTAATGTATAAATAATTTCATTTTTTCTATTATGTTTTTAATGGAACAAAATACTCATTCCTATTATGTTTTTATGCACATACATTTTTATATGAAGTATCTTTAGTAATATTAGAATAGTCAGTATATATTTGTTAAAATAAATTATAAAATCAGTATATTACTGTCATCTCAAATTTGCCAAAATGAACTGAAGTCAATGAAATATATTATGTCATAAAGCGGCATCTACAATAAAATTTAGAGCGTAAAATTTAAGTTTTAAACTCTAAGCCATAAGAAATTGGCCAATTACAGTCGAATATAAGAAGAATAATTAGTTATGATTGGTCAATTTCTTATGGCTTAAAACTTAAAACTTAAGTTTTACGTCTTAAAATCATTGTAGACTCTGCTGAAGATAAGACTTTGGATCTGTTTTTTTTTTGGAGCTGAGATACTTTTAGAATTTAAAGTGAGATGGGTGTATGTTTAATATTTGGCGAAAGCAAGAAAGAGAATTCTAGTGGAGTCTACTATGTGCATAAGATTAAAAAACAAATTATATTTCCAAATCAAGTAGTATAGTAAAGAGTATAAACATGCATTGTATAAAATTTACAGAATTATCAGATTTAATGATTAAAAATATTAATAATTAATAATTATTTACTCTTTAATCAAGTATTCTTTCACTTACTGTCATTTGAAATGTATTCGGCTGTGCGCGTTTAGAAAAGAATTTCGTGGATTCAGGCTATCCCTCGGCCACCTGCAGAAATGTTATATGTGTATATGTATGAATGGTATGTGCGGTGTGTGTGTGTGTGACTGGTGTGTGTGTGTGTGTGTGTGTGTGTGTGTGTGTGCGTGTGTGTGTGTGTGCGTGACGTCTGTTCTTTATTTATAGAACTCCAAGGTAAATAAACATTATGTTAAATGATTATACAATAAATCCTTATTGGTTAGACGCTAACCTATACGTCTCAGATCACAGGCGAGCGTCGCATCAATCACAATGTTGATCAGTGTGTCGTACTCATAGTACGTCAGTATTATTATTTACTAAATTTAACCCGTTTCTTGTCTCTATAATCGCCACGTCATGAACTACGACAATTAAAAACTCTGAAATTCGCGTTTCTGAACGTTTCACAAACTTCACCATCGATCTATTTCCCCCGATATCCCCGGTCATCATCTCATATCGTAATATTTATAGTGTTTATACAGCCGAATATGGCTGCATTCGGGGAAACGCTCTATTCGCGGAGACCACTGACTTGAAGATAGCAGACAAATTGAATATTTCTAATTTATTTATGTTTATAATTTGAGAATCGTTTGGGAAAATTTACGAAAAACATTTAAATATTTGGGTAATAGCACCGACGAGATACTATTAAAGATGGTTGAATATGGAAAGTTGCGTACCTATTAAAATTTAAGATTAAAGAAACTATATATAATAATAATAATTTCATGATTATTAGTTTCATAGAATGCACATGTTTACGTATATTAAAAATTTAATAATACTCGATTTTCATTTAAAACTGCGATTTAATGTTATCATCCGAGTTTGATTATCAATAAAGATCATAACTGCAGAGAAAAATTGTAATTTTTCAGCAATATACAATATAAGTAAGATATTCATTGAAAATATGCATGTTTATTTGTACAGCATTTATGTAATAAAAAATCACGAATTTAATAATTCATCATCGAAGTATTTATGTTAGTATAATCATAAATTTTTATTAATTTCAGTAACATCATCGTTCTTTATTTACTCCTGGACCTTATTGGATGCGTTCGGAAATTCTACTCCGAGTAGAAATGTTACCAACCGCCGTCCGAAAATTGACTCGAGCCTTGCAAAATTAACATACATTTGCGTTCGGAAATATTGGTTCGGAAATAAACATCTACTTGCAAAATTTGCAAATAGATCTAAGAGAATGATTAGCGATCCGCTAATCCGCGATACGCGCGATACGCTCTATAGGATTGCACCGTGACGGTGTCGAAAACTAGGGAAATGTTATAGTATATGTAACGCATGCTATAGCGTTTCCCTAGTTTTTCGTACACGATACTTTTTGAGAATAGGGGCCCAGAGCAAGCAACATTGAGAATTTACCCCTCTACTTTTGCTCTACCAATTGAGTCGCAGCACAGATTTTTGTATAACGCATAATGGATAGTGCATAAGGGAATCAATCACTTGAAATTCTTCTTTTCCATGGAATGGGAGAAAAGAAAAGATTCTGATTAGTTGATTCGCTTATGCACTATGCGTTATGCGTTATACAAAAGTTTGTGTTGTGTCTTAAGGGCTGCCGCACAAAATTCCACAACAGTGACTGTAAAAGTGCATTCACATGTAAGCGTCAAGTGTTAAGCAGCGGAAGCAACAACCAACAAATTCGCGTTTTAGAACAGAGAATAAGAATTTCAACCTATCAAAAATCGTGCATCTGTGCATAGTTTCTGATAAGTTCCCTGTCCCTTTTATTGTGCAGAGCCCCTTAAGATTACTATTCAGAATTTTCGCGCGCAACATCAATGGCTGAAGCAAAAGTAGAGGGAGTAGATTCTCGATCATCTCGTTCATTTTCGAGCATTCTCGATCATTCTCTGTGTCGAGGACCAAATGTGCATCTTTGGTATCTCTGCATTCTCTACTCCAGTATAGTCTAGGACAGTACTATCCAGTACGCTAGTTACTCTGGTTGTTTGGTACGTGCTATATAAGAATCTGTGGCTGCAACAAGAGATAAACTTTTTTATTTAACGGAATTATAATTACGTAACTTTTTTCATCAATTTTTTCTCAAAACATCAGATTAGGTAAGTGAAAAATTGTCACATAATTGACAAATCAGCATCACAATTTAATTTTTTTAAGTGATAATTCATCTAATCTCTAAAATACCACGTGGTACAATATGTTATTTTAATCGAGGATTTCCTTCATAAAAAGAATTTCAATCTATCAAAAATCGTGCATCTGTGTATATAGTTTCTGATAGGTTCCCTGTCCCTTTTATTGTGTAGAGCCCCTTAAGGTTACTATTCAGAATTTTCGCGCGCAACATCAATGGCTGAAGCAAAAGTAGAGGGGGTAGATTCTCGATCATCTCGTTCATTTTCGAGCATTCTCGATCATTCTCTGTGTCGAGGACCAAATGTGCATCTTTGGTATCTCTGCATTCTCTACTCCAGTATAGTCTAGGACAGTACTATCCAGTACGCTAGTTACTCTGGTTGTTTGGTACGTGCTATATAAGAATCTGTGGCTGGAACAAGAGATAAACTTTTTTATTTAACGGAATTATAATTACGTAACTTTTTTCATCAATTTTTTCTCAAAACATCAGATTAGGTAAGTGAAAAATTGTCACATAATTGACAAATCAGCATCACAATTTAATTTTTTTAAGTGATAATTCATCTAATCTCTAAAATACCACGTGGTACAATATGTTATTTTAATCGAGGATTTCCTTCATAAAAAGAATTTCAATCTATCAAAAATCGTGCATCTGTGTATATAGTTTCTGATAGGTTCCCTGTCCCTTTTATTGTGTAGAGCCCCTTAAGGTTACTATTCAGAATTTTCGCGCGCAACATCAATGGCTGAAGCAAAAGTAGAGGGGGTAGATTCTCGATCATCTCGTTCATTTTCGAGCATTCTCGATCATTCTCTGTGTCGAGGACCAAATGTGCATCTTTGGTATCTCTGCATTCTCTACTCCAGTATAGTCTAGGACAGTACTATCCAGTACGCTAGTTACTCTGGTTGTTGGTACGTGCTATATAAGAATCTGTGGCTGCAACAAGAGATAAAATTTTTTATTTTACGGAATTATAGTTACGTAACTTTTTTCATCAATTTTTTCTTAAACTTTTTTCAGATTAGGTAAGTGAAAAATTGTCACATAATTGACAAATCAGCATCACAACTTAATTTTTTTAAGCGATAATTCATCTAACCTCTAAAACACCACGTGGTACAATATGTTATTTTGATCGAGGATTTCCTTGATAAAAATTTTTCTCATAATTTTTATATGATTGGAACATTTTTCAGAAATACTCAGAAATATTCGGAAAGTTTACATCTTCTCTCAGAACTTCTCATATAAGTGAATTCTGGAATATTCTGAAATTTCTCATTCCATAATTTTTAAAAAGTATTTTTTAATTTTTTAGATTTTTTAAATTTTTGTAATATTTTATCAGAAATTATACTTACAAAAAATCTTAAAAATCTTAAAAATCTATTTTATAATTATATGAAAAATTCTTAGAAAAGATGTAGAATTGTTCCAATTCATATAAAAGATATGAGAAAATTATAAAATTATAGAGGAATTCTGAAAAATTATATAGAAATTCTAAAAAATTATATGAAAAATTCTGAAAAAAATTTTCACCATGGTTGTCAAGCTATTTTCGCATATATAACGTTTTGTTTGTTATCACGAGCTTTTTTTATGATTTTGATTAAGTTAACACAATAGATTTTTTAAATACAATGAAATATACATATATAAATATAAATTTTGTATCGAGTTCTGTGTATCTTTTAACAAAAAATGTTCGTTAAAAGAAATAAAATTGTTTATTTTATTTGAAAGCTAAATTGGAAATGTAACTTTTTTTTATTGTTAAGCTGTACTAATAATTATTCTTTCTTTCTTTTTATATGGCAGAAATTTCATAAAAGATTAATTGGAGGTATTTAAAAAGAAGAAAAAGAACTAATACGTACAATGAAGAATCTGGATCAAGAACACTTTACTTGTTGGACGTGCAAAGTAAAGTTTACAGATTTGGCAATGTTTAAACATCATTATCGTACTGAATGGCATAGATATAATATGAGTACAATAGTAAATGGATTGCCTTCGATCACTCTTGAAGACTTTGAGAAGAAAGAAGCGATGCATCATGAAAATAACGCAAACCAGATTAAGAAAAAACAGATTTGTGAAATCTGCCGAAAGAAGTTCAATAATCAGAAACAGTACGAGAATCACTTGGCCTCGAAAACTCACAAAAAGAAGTTGGAGCAAAAAGAAGATACAACTGTAGCTTATAGCAAAAAGTCGTCAAGCATACAAGATTCATCCAATAAGAATACGGATGATATTGAAACAGATTCAGATGTAGAATCCTTGGATTCGGACGAGTGGTTTGAAGACTTAAAGTATCAAATTATTTATGATAATTGTTTATTCTGTGATTATCATAATAAATCCATAGAGTGCATTATGATACATATGGAGAAGAAACATTCATTTTTCGTACCTGATCTTGAATACTGCGTGGATCTAGGTGGCCTGTTAAAATACTTAGAATCTAAGATATATGTTGAATTTAAATGTATTTGGTGCAATGATTCAGGTAAATAAATCTTTTTTTTTGTTAATTAATTATTTTCTATATTATTTATATATTTGATTGAAATAAAAGAATTAAAAATGTGAATTGAACAAAAAGAATATTATACAATTATAAAAAATTTAATCAAATAAAAATTTATATATTTTACAGGAAGAAAAATGCGAAGCGCACAAGCTGTAAAGATGCATATGATCGACAAGGGTCACTGTAAAATGTTGTTCGAAGAAGAGACGATGTACGAGTATTCATCTTTTTATAATTACTTATTCAGCTACCCAGATGCCGAAAATGCTGATCCAGATGAAGAAGTGTCTGATCTAGAGGTTTTAAACGACGAGGGTTACATGATGAAATTACCATCTGGCAAGTCAATCGTTCACCGTGATTTGGCGCTTTACTATAAACAGAATGTACCTGTGGGAATCACAGCGATAATAAAAGACTCAGATTATTGTCGACGCAAGCGGATACATAAGCAAATATCGTTTGGATCTGAGGAAAGAAAAATTGAAATCGCCCGAATTACAGCACGAGACATTCAAAGCTTCCAGCGAGTCCAAGCCAAGTACTTAATGCAATTGCAAGTCAAACAAAATAACCTGCAGAAACATTTTAGACAACAAACGAACTTTTAACTATATTTAATGACTAAATATAATTAGATATGCATAATTTTTAGAGAGTTGTAAGTTATAAAAAATAAAATATGTATTTAATAAATAATAATATAAAGTTGATTATTCCTGCATCATTACACATTTTTATTATCACATTATTTATAAGTACAACAAAAAACGCAACTTAAACATAATAACTTAATTATTCATCTAAATGGATTTTAGTCTAATTTTAATCATTTAATTCTAACATAAAATCAGATTCAAACTTTAGACACGCTATAACTTCGCGTCCTTTCAATTGCTAAGAAATCGAAATTTATTATTTTTAAAGGATACATCACGTAATACAAATTATTATAAATCGCTTTATAATTCGCATTTTACGGATGTTCTTACAAAATAACTCGTGTATACTTTATAAATACACTTTCGTAACACGTTTCACCGACAAAAATATCTTCTATTTTTTTCTCGAATAATTTTTTTTTAAATTTATGTGGACCCGTTATATCTAGAGTAACATCTCCATATTACGATCGAGAAATCGCCGCTTTCGATAGAACGTAACAAATATATATATAAGTTAGAAAAAGATCTTATACATCATCGCATTTCGCTGATGTTCATATGAGAAAGAAAGAGGGGAGAAAAATGATATTTGAACGTTCACTTCATGACTATGTTTCACGGTAACTTCAGCGAATCACGAAATGTAAAGACATTTAATAGTATTTGGTACTTTGATATTTTATGACTTTCTTTTTGTTTTTTTCTAAGAATTTTTAGAATTCATCAGATCAATATTTGTTGTAATTCATGCTTTCCTTTTAATCTTCAGATATCTTCTCTGAATTCCTATTACATACATGCATATATAGATACTCCACTTCTTTTTTAAAATTAATTATGAAAAATATATATATGTATATGATCAAAAATATAATATTACTAATAATAGAAATGATAATATTAAAATGTTTTGTTTTCTTAGAAAATGTTCCAAAATTACTTGTTCCAAAATTGTTGTAGTATAACGGGATTTTTAGAAAGTAGATTCTTATACATATATATTTTATCGTTCAATTAGATTTGATCATTAGTATTTACGTTTGTTTTAAATCTTTATGATTTTTAACATATATAAGAATTAAATGATATATACGATTTTACATTTTGTATTATATCTTTTTTTGCTATAATAGATTTGACTTTTAGAGTCGTGTTGACTTCCGTGCAGAACAGAAATAAAAGATCCGAATGTGAGACGTCTATCAAACGTCTAAATGGACGTCTAAACATTTGATAGACTTTATACCTGATTCACTGTATTAAATTATTCAATTTCATTAAATCATTGTTCTTCGCTTTCGTTTCTCTTAACAACGAACATTCTTTCTTCAAAACACACAGGGGCAGTAATACCGGATACCATTCGGATGCGTTTCGACACGTATTACGTGAAACGCATAATACATACTTTTCTCTTTTGTTTTTAATAAATATTCTATGAGAAGATGTCACGTCATTCGTGACATCGAGACATACATTAAGTGCTGTTATTGTCACGACACGACGATGATACATATATCTTTTATCTACTTTACGCTTTACGGTTTCGTGTGTGTTGACGGTTTAATTTAATTATAAGCTCTCCAAGCGAGCGGACTTTCTCATTTTTTATCTTCAATTTAATAACTTCACCATCAGTTTTAACGCCTGATGGGGCGGCGCCGGTCTGATAGACTTGTCCAATTCCGTGTACAGGATTTCTGCTTCCACCTGGTAGCCGTGCTTCAGATAGACTTTCAGTGAGAATGCACTGGTTGCATCGGCTTTACACACCTGTGGTGATATGCTGTATCAGATTTGTTTTTCATTCTTCTTTTATTAAATTTTATTTTGAATAAAATTAAAAGATCTCATTGAAGGCCTTTTGGAAAATAAGTGGATTGAAACAAGAAGTCCCTTTGATAGATAAAAATGATTTTAAGAACTGTGTAACTCGTTATCAATTTTATTTGATTTTTACGATAAGCCTTTTTTCCTTGTAATCAGCTTAATAATATAGATAAACAATCTGATGAATAAATCCATTTACTCACTTTTCATTTTTCTAACTTGTAAATATTGAGAGATAAGAAACAGAAATAATAGTTAACATTGTCGTTAATTGATTTTATGGTAGATATTATCTACGTATCAATTACTTTCCTAGAATTAAATAGTTAAGATACTTCTAGGACTGACGTCATTTGATAAAGTAATGAATAATTTGACTATTAAATTTTGAAAGTAAAAAATAAAAATAATTACTGATAAATTAATACATATAATATTCATTTATATTGATATATATATTATCTACTGTATCATTTATTCATATTATTTATTAGTTCATATTAATTTATTTATCATGTTAATCTGATCCTTTACAAGAGAATGTACATATGAAAGTGCAAAAAATATCTTTTAAGAAAAATAATGTGCGAACGATAAATTGTAATTATACCTTGTGAAGAAGTAAACAAAAATTATCCCATGCATGTTAAGAAGAAAAGCATGCTGAAACAAAAGGAAAGTGTGTGCTGTGTATGCAGTGATCACGCCAACGCAACAATTTTAAATTAATGAAATAAAAAAAAATGCGAAACCTGTTTATAACACGTAAAATCAATAAAATTTATATATATATATTATTGTCACTTTGACATTTTTTTTGAATTTATAATGTTACATAAAATTTTTACATTCATTTTATGTGTCTACAAGAAATCGGGAAAGAATTAATTTTTATTAGAAACATTTCATATATAAATAGGTAAATAAATTCATATAAATTAAAATAAAAAATTAAAAAATAAATTAATTTCGATTTTGATCAAGATAAAATGAAAAAAGACAAATTTAAATGAACATATAATTATAGATATAAAAAATAAATTAAGATATAAATATATTACAAATAAGTTAAAATCCAGTTTAATCTACCTTAAACCCGGCATTTTTGGCGACTTTTTCACTATCATCCATAAGAATACTGGCCAAACCTTTACCGCGATAATTTGCATCAACGCTGAGGATTCGACACTCGAACAGCTCATCCACATCATACTTGGCGAACAAATCGACCTTATCATTCACTTTGTAGAGTAATTTCATGATCATCTTAAACTTTTCATCATCTAACTCATCGAAACGCCGCTCTTCTTCCTCGCGTTCACCTTTCTTCAGAATACCGTTTAGTGCCATTCCCGCTATCTGATGAAAACCAATTATAGTAATATTTATTATCTTAAAATTAGCAGACATTAAAACTTTCCAAAATAAAAAAATAAACAAAACTCAACTTTATTATGATTAATTGGTTATAATGATAAAAGATTTTATCATTATAAAGAAGCTATAGTTATGAGAATAAATAAAGTAATTAATTTTAAACATATGAAATTAATTTAAAAATTCCTTCGGTTTCTTATTTTGCAAATAAATAATTTCTAAATAATTAAAAATAAATCCGAATAAATTATGGTTTTTTAAATTTTTATATGAGAAAAAGTCTGTTTTACAAATAAAAAAATCTTTCTCCATTAATATATCTTTGTTAAAAATTACCAAAATATAAATTTAAAAAGAGAGTTTTAAAATTTGAAATCTCTATTTTCGAATGGTTAATTTTTTTGAATTTATGTGAGTTTTGTAATTTTTACATAAAGAAAACTACGAGTTGAAAAAAATGAAAAATTTTCTTTTCACTTTGTAGATCTGTAGCGTACTCTCAAAAAATTGGAGCGAATTTTCGACTATCTATCGTAAAAGCTTGAAGTTTTTTTCTATACAAAATCATTTTTTAAAAATTCCTATGATTTTTTGTTTTTTAATTATTCGCAGATTAAGTAAAAAAGAACATTCTGACTTTATTGCTCGTAACTCCATTAAAAATCATCGTATCGCAATTAAAAATAGATTCTTAAAGCTGAAACGTTGTTCTATCAAGTGGTAACATTTTTTTTTTAAATAGAATATATGGGTTGGTAAAAATCTTTTTATTAATTTGTAAAGGGATTTTTTCTCTAACCCATTATAAAGAAAATAGTGAACATTAAAGTATTAATAAAAAATTTATTATCTCTTTATTACTTTTAATCTTGTTGTTCTGTTCGGGTCTATTTGATCCGAATATTTATTTTCCCATTATATTTTTATATGATGATCGTAAGCATTCCAGCATTATAGCATCTCTGAAAAAAATCACTGTGAAAGCCTTAAAAGATATTCATTTATCTAATTTCAGTATCTAATATTTATTAATTAAAATTTAATAATATTTTATGATATAAAAGAACATTATTAAGTGAAAAAA